GGTTCCGTGATGCTTTCATGATGCGACAAAAATGTTCCTCATGCTCTGCGGCATGCCCGCACCGTCCGCGCGGGCCACTGCGAGCTGGACTGGCTCGTGGTCGAGGAGGTCACGCAGCTCGACGTGGGGCTGTGGGCCGACATCGCGGAGCTCTCCGTGAACCGTCGGGCGCGCTTCCTGCTGCTGGGACTTCCAGCAGCTGCCCGCCGTGCAGGACGCTTTCGGGGGCGCGCCGGTGCTGCGCTCGCTGAAGGACTCGCAGCTGCTGCACGACCTGGCGGGCGGCTGCGCGCACCAGCTCACGGAGAACCAGCGGTGGCTGCACGTGGACGAGCCGGAGCAGCCGCCGCTGCGGGAGGCCGTGCAGGCGGCGCGGGAGCGTTCCCGCGGCGGGGCCACCCCGAGCTTTGCGCCAGCGGAGCTGCTGCGCCACACGCGGCTCTGCCACGCGATTACCTATGCCTTGTGCCAGGGCCTCACGCTGCAGGGGAGGGTGTGGCTCTGCGACGCCGAGAATCCGCACTTCTCGGTGAAGCACCTCTGCGCGGGCGCGTCGCGGGCCACGAGCGCGGACCCGCGGAGCCATCCCGGCAATTTTCGGGATGTCCGAGCTGCCAAAAAAACGGGCAGCATTCCCTTCCCCGCAGCCCCCCTGGGGTGGTGAGGTTTCGGGACCGCCCCATTTCCTGGACGGCTCCCAGTTGCCGAACAGCGCATGCATGAGGCGGTTCCGGTCTTTCCGGGTCAGACCGCAGCACATGCGCACGGCTTTGAGAAGCACTTCACGAAATGAGCATGCGACCGTGTCAGACACAGTACAACAGTCATCCGGAGGCAGGGGAAGGCGCTCACAAGGCGGTGCTGCAGTCCGAGTGCTCCGGACACGTCGCGGTTGCGCGCAACGGACTTTGATTCTGCTATCAAGATCCAAGACCACAACGTGAGCTGCGATCTTAAGGTCATCTGCCATGGCCGCCCGAAAGGATTTAGCTTCCACCGCACCACCGCCATGCACAGGAAGCATGGTCCATGGGCCCACTTGTTTCACAAAGCTGGTTGCGAGAAAAACATCGCCACGGCGAACGCGAGAGCGAACACTCCACGACGTGGGGAAAGCCCACAGGACGGTGTCAACCTCCGCCACCACGAATCCCGGGGCCACACGCTGGTGGTCGGGACCCAAACGCAAGGGGCGGCCAAGGAGGGACATAGCACAGACCAATATTTATGGTGAGGACAATCACAACTCGCAACTTGCACCAAAGGCTGCAAAAGCGACACAAACATGCTCCCGATGTTGCAGGTCACGCGCACTGTCCGACACCGCCTCAAAACGATGGCTCGGGCAGGTTTTTTGACTCCACGCAGCATTCCAAAAAAAACACAGCCCAAGGTCGGCTGGAGCACCTCGTCAGGTTGACTTCTGCGTTCGCTGCAAGCGTATCAAGATCCCTTGCAGCCCTCAACGAAATCCAGCCTCCTCAGCTTTGAGTTCTTGACCGTCTCGCGCCTGAGCCGAAGCACGCACGCTGCTTAAACGAAACTGCAAGAGTCTGAAAACTAGACACGGCGATGCTGCATCACACTTGCTTGTAGAATTTATAGAGCAGCTGCGAGTCATGTGTCTTCCGAGCTGTCGAGCATGTCCTGGGGTTCTGCAAAAGCATATACAGGATTGAGTCAAGAAGTGCGCAGAATATGGCAGAACACAAGTTGAGGCCCAGACTTAACACGTAGTCTGCCTGCCAGGCTCAGATCAGGCCAGCCCAGAATCGAAGCAGCTGGAAAGAAGCGCTGAAGGCAAGCAATCCGAAGCAGCTTTTCGCACACCCATAGGAAGCCCGAACGTCGGGCACCCCCCTCGACTTCACTGGGCCGCCCGCCGCAGCCCCGGGAGCCGCAGCCCCAGGAGCCTACCGCCGGGTGACCGGTCGGTCACACGAGCGTGCCCCCGTGTGCGCGCGCGACAAAAAAAACAAAAAATGCATTTCGCGCACGTGACTAAAGGACAAAAAATGAGCGCGCGCGCGCGCGCGCGCGACATGCACAAATGAACGCGTCACGCGGCATGCAGAAATGAACGCGTCACGCGGCACGCATGAACGCGTTGCGCGGCATGGCTGCCCCCGTTGCCACGGGGTCCTCCACGTGCCTCCAGAGCTCCTCCTGCGGCGGCGGTTCGGTCTCCAGCCGCGGCTCTCGGCAGTCCCTCCAGGCGCTTCACCTACTTTGGCGCGCCGTCCCGGCGCCGGTGCCGCGTGAGCGCCTCCACGGCGGGCAGGAACTTTCACGGCAGGTTCTGGTAGACGAGGCGGTTGGTCTTCAGCGCCACCAAACAGCGCGGCGGCACCCCCCGCAGCGCGCGGCGGATCCTCGCCATCGCCACGCACTCGCAGCCCATCACGAAGTTGTGCGCCGGGCGCATGGACCGGTTCGTGAAAAGCTCAGCCCGATGACGTTCACGCTCAGCTTCGCGAAGTGCTCCTCGCCCTCGGGCCAGGCCCTCCATGACCTCCAGCGCCTGCGCCAGGCAGTCGGGCGCCACGTTACGTTGGCCGTGGTCTGCAGCGACCACTTGCAGTCCGCCCAGATTCCAGCCCGGGCCGATGTAGCCGCTGCCCGACGAAGTGGTGCACCGGCACCACGTGCTCCGCCTGAAAGGGGCTTCTCTTTTTCCTGGCCCCGGAATGTCTTTTTTCCGACCCCGCGACCTTTTTCAACCCCGGAAAGTCTTTTTTTGGCCTCGGTCTTTTTCCAGGCCTCGTTACGGGGCCCAAAAAAAACAAATGTCTTTTTGACGACCCTGTTCGCAGCCGTCAAAGAAGGAACGACCGTCTTTTTCTCAACCCCGCAGCGTCTTGCGACCGACCCCGCTTCTTTTTCCGGACCCCGGAATGTCTTTTTTTCAGCCTTTGCCGAACACACAGAGCTTCAAAAAGGAGGTGTAAAATGTTGCTGTAGCATTGCAAGCGAACAGGTGCAGTTCACAACTCTAAACTTTAAACCCTAAATCCCAAAACCCTAAACTCTGAATCCCTAAACCCCCAACTTTAAAACCTTAACCCCCAAAAGCTCCAAACGCTACAGTTAAAGTTCGACCTAAACCCGAAATTGAGAACTAGGGGCTGGTTCCCTGGACAGGTAGGGGGGGCCGGCTTGTGACACAAGCACAGTCCCCCCAACCCCTGCTCATCTGCGAAATCCATCAGACAAGCAGGGTCCGCCCAACCGCCCTGCTTATCTGGAAACCTGTCAAACAAGCACAGCCCCTCTGCCTTTTGCGAAACCCGTCCCCCTACCTGTCACACAAGCACAGCCACCCCAGCCCCGCTGCTTATCTGCAACGCCTGTGAAACCTCTCATACAAGCACAGCCCCCTCAACCCCCAACCTGCCCCTCTGCCTATTTGCAAACCCTCATACAAGCACAGTCCCCTCAACCCCCCTGCTTATCTGGGGATATACAAGCACAGCCCCTCTGCCTTTTGCGAAACCCGTCCCCCTACCTGTCACACAAGCACAGTCCCCCCAACCCCCCTGCTTATCTGCAACGCCTGTGAAACCTTTCATACAAGCACAGCCACCTCAACCCCCCTGCTTAAAACCTGCCCCTTTGCATCCCCCTACCTGTCACACAAGCACAGTCCTCTCAATTCCCTTGCTTATCTGCAACGCCTGTGAAACTTCTCATACAAGCACAGTCCCCTCAACCCCCCTGCTTATCTGGGGATATACAAGCACAGCCCCTCTGCCTTTTGCGAAACCCGTCCCCCTAATCCGAGCATCAGTTTAATTAATACCCCCACATTTAAAGAATTTTTTTTTGGCCGGAAGCCCGCCGGAAGACTACTTTCCATTAGGGTGGATTTCGTATGGGACAAACCCCCCACATTTAAAGGAATTTTTTTTGGGGGGGTTCACAAATCTGTCGGCAGGCTTCTTGTTTTGCTTGCGGAGACGCAAAGCTACAGCACCTCAGGGATCTGCAGCCTTTTGTTTTTAATAGAGAATCAATACAGGGCCATGGTCCAACTATTGCGGAACCCTGCATTCCTTATTGTGGAGGGGGGGGGGGGGGCCCCCCCACCAATTAAACAGAAGCTCGGATTACCTGTCACACAAGCACAGTCCCCCCAGCCCTCCTGCTTATCTGCAACGCCTGTGAAACCTTTCATACAAGCACAGCCACCTCAACCCCCCTGCTTATCTGCAAAACCTGCCCCTTTGCGTCCCCCTACCTGTCACACAAGCACAGTCCTCTCAATTCCCTGGCTTATCTGCAACGCCTGTGAAACTTCTCACACAAGCACAGTCCCCTCAACCCCCCTGCTTATCTGCAAAACCTGTCGCACTGCTTATCTGCGAAACCCGTCCCCCTACTTGTCACACAAGCACAGTCCTCTCAAGTCGCCTGCATATCTGCAACGCTTGTGAAACCTCTCATACAAGCACAGCCCCCTCAACCCCCCTGCTTATCTGCAAAACCTGTCGCACTGCTTATCTGCGAAACCCGTCCCCCTACCTGTCACACAAGCACAGTCCTCTCAATTCCCTTGCACATCCTGGTGGTGGTGGGCCTTGGCGTGTTTGGGGCCATGGCTTCCAAAACCACCTTTTTGGAGTCCATTTTACGTTGCCGTGGTTGTTGATGTTTCTGACTTGTCCGCTGGTCTGAGGCGGTCCGCCAGAAAATTATACCACTTTTATTTCTGTTTGCTGTAAATTGCATTTGCTTTCAACTGGAGGTCAAATGTATCTTGTTTAGGGAAAATTCAATCTCACTTCATCTCTGGTGAAGTAAGTGAATCAAGAATCTATCTCAAAACCGGATGCAAAACACTAATCAATCAGACTCATTCACAATCACACCTTTTTCATGCCGGTGGCAGAAGATCTTGGGGAAAGTTCGAGTAGAACTCCCAGCGCACCATACCTACGGCATGCGTGCTGCATCCAAATGCTTTGGATACGGGACATGACATCAGGAGATGATCATGCCTCTCACAACCCCCAAGACTCAAAGGCGTGATCAACGAGTGTATCAAGATCGATCGTGAATTCTTTGCCCAGCTCCGGATCTTTAGAGCCGCGTGAGGGGGCATCTGCCACGTTTGAGCAGGTGTTCACGCGTTCAAACCAGATGTTAAGCCCAAGCTCGTCACACAGCACATGAACATGCTGAGCAATCGCTTCTCCATACTTGTTGCTTGAAATTCCGGCAACCATACAGGCCAGGGCACCCTCGTTGTCAGTAAACACAACGAGGTTGGTACTGCGAATGAGCGGAGCCCACAACCTGAGTCCGACAAGGATGGCTAAGCATTCGTACTCGAAAATGGGGTTGCCGCTCTCAGGATTCATGCGACGTCTCACATGCTCAGACGCGCGGTCACTGAAAAAGCCCATCTTCGAACCCACTTCATTAACAAGAACACCACCCAAGCCTATGTTATCACCCTCACAAGAGGCATCGACATAAAGATGCATGGTAGTCAAGATGTTGGCGCAGATCACCCTGGGCGGTGAGAAGTTGACTCGATCGCGCAACCTTAGTAGGGCTACCCTGGTGCACTCATCCAGGTGTCCTCCCCCTCGTTGCACAAACCGCGACAGTTGGTTGTAGGCTGTTCCAGCAACCTTTCCAGCTATCTGGTTTTCAGCAAACTGGAGTCGGCCCCTGATGCGCTCGCCATCCTTTTGCGTGAGGTAACCAGACGAGAGGATGTCGGACAAGGCCTCGAAGATCTCGTCTCGCCTCGACTCCGTGTTACACAGAGTGATACGTCCGAGACGGGATTCAGACAAGTCGAACTTCAACCCCAACACTTTTGCACAGGAGTCGAACACAGATTCTTTGTCTTCGGCGACATCCCACCCCAACAAGCGGAATACTAGGCAAACACCAATGTCGAAGAGGCGGGCCAGAGGAGCCAGCTCCACACCCACAAAGTCGTCAAAATAAACGTTGATGTGGCACAAGAACAGCACTACAAGGACTTTCCATATTTTTAGTGACACCCGGCAAAATGCGTGCACACTGTGCCGTGATCCAAACGGAAGAACCTTTTGTCGGAAAATTCGGGGACATTTCCCTTTTGGGTCGTAGACGCACAAGAAACTGTCCTCCAGCGCCTCCAGGGATAGTGGAAGGTTTTTGTAGGCCTGGTGAAGGTCCCAGGACTTCAAGAGAAGTTGGTGCAACCTGCACTTTGCATCGGCCCTCAGTCGACGGGCCAAACCTGATGCTATGCAGTCGGCGGTGTGCACGGTGATTGTGTCGTACGATGAAGATGTGGCATTCAAACCACTTTCAAGGTAGTTATCGATGGGCCGTGTTTTGTTATTCTGCACAACGCCAAAGCGCCTGGTCAACAAAGAGCTGGCCCCCAAGTCGCTCTCTTTCAGCGGCCCGTCCAGCCACCCCCGCTCCACCTCGTCCAAGGTGACTCGGTAAGTCTCAGCATCCACCACATCATCGCCTGAGCTCTTGGTGGAGTTTAGGATGCCCTTCCGCATTCGTTGTGCTGACCCTCGCAGGTCATCGACCGCCATGGTGGCAGCTGTACGCTTAGCGCGGAACTCAGGGCAGTAGGGGATCGGGCCTCCTAAAGCAAAACCCTTAGACATATCCGCAACCAACGACGGATCATTGTGGCCGGCAGCCTCAATCATCTCGCCGAAAAGAAGCAGCCTTTTCTTGCTCAAGGTTTTCGCACAGTGCTTGGGCAGTGTCTCCTTATACACACGTTCTTGCTCGTCGAGCTCTGCGGCTCGCCCTAGCCACTGACGTAAAGCTTCAGTCCTACTGGCACCAACGGTGTGCATGCCCTCCGACGCCAAGAAGTCAATCGTTTGCTGCAACTCAGGTGGAACTCCCGAACTCATAAGACGCGGGTGCTTAGCCTCAAGCGCTTGCTCGATGAATTCATCGCACGTCCACGGTACTCCAACCCACGTCCTAAACCTATCGGGCCTAATGGGGGGGAGCCTTCCTCGGGCCCTGCCGGTGAGGAGGCTTGGTGTCCTGGCTGTTCGGGTAAAGCAAACCCCACACACTGCAGCTCAGCCGTTTGGTCTGCAGTCAAGCGATCTGTGTGATTGGTGGTGTAGGCAACAAGTATGTCACGTGTCGCCCCATGCCTGGGCATTGCACAGTGCTTCTGGTGGGGGTTAAACAGGATCCGGTTGGACTCGAACTTCAGCTCACAGCCCATCAAGTCAGGCACGTTCGGATCTGGGCAGGGCACGTCCCCAAGCTCATTGTGTATCCAAATTCCACCCTCGAAAGATGAAAGTTTTAAAACACAGTTAGGGAAACCTTGGGCATTGTTTTTGTCAACATGAACCCCTCCTTGAAGGTTTCGTCCAAGCATGATGGCTGAGAACGGATGCCCTGGTGCATGCTGTTTTACGAACTGACACAGCATAGTACTGACAGCCGGGTTGAGCCGCAGGTTAGTCCTAACCCCGGTAGCCCCTCCCTGTGCATAGGCCCCTGTGGACCACGAAAACTCATCATCCAGGCCAGCACCTCTGGCCAAGCGATCCGACTTCAAGAGCTGGAACAGCTGAGTTACATCATCAGCCAAGATAGTTTTCTGTTGAAGGCACACAGAGGCGAACTGCTCGACGGGGCAGTTCGGGTTTCCCTGATTCCTACTGCTTGGCTGGGATGAAGGTCCAGAACGCGGCGTCTCTCCACCCCCAAGTGCAACACGACGCAATATACGAGAACCCATGGGCAGCTCTGGCAAAGGCGGGTCACACGCGGCTGAGGGCGGAACAGGCACGGCCACGGGCAGCTTGGCTGAAGCAGGCAAGAGGTCATGGTCAGATGTCACAACGACCACATCACGGAACTCAGCGACCATAGGAGCAACCTTCTTGCCACGGGGCTGGGAGCCGAGACTGACCTGGGCCGCTCTATGTTGCTGCCGAACCTCATCTGACAGGGAACGAGCAGGCAGCTGGAACCCACGCCGGCAGAGCTCCTCAAGCAGGAGTGCGGCGACCGCCTTGCACAACCCAAGCGGGTAAGCGGTCTCCTCACTAGTAGCATAGCGGAACTTAGACACACGACCCCAAGGCAGATGCTTATGGGAGGCGGACTCGCCAGGGCATGTCAGGTTGAGTTGGTCGAAGGCTGGCACGTTGTGCACCCACAACGTATGCTTGGGGCAGCTGCCCCCGTAGCAACAATGGTCAAACACAGCTTCCCGCAAGGACAGACCGGAGGTGCCCTGACGCCACGCAGTGGTCTGCCACATGAAAGAATTCAGGGGATTCTCGCAGCTGACAAGCTTGCCGGCAAGAACCGCCCGTTTCAGGGCTGCAGCGGACACGCCATAGAGGCGGTTGGCCGCAGCCACACGTTGAGCCAAACGGTCAGGAAGCCCGGGTAGGCCATCAGGAAAGGTATCATCCCGACACGGTTCGGGATCGTGATCGGTCTCTTGGATCAGGCGAGCACGGGAGCTCGTGCCACACGGTGGTGCAAAATGCACATAAAGACAAAAAGGGTTGTCGATCATATCATGCAAAAGCTGTACATCAAAATCACGAGTGAGATCAAGTTTGACCATGGGACAAGGGCAACGCCTGGGGATCCGATGATCGACGCCACAGGAATCTTGCAAGCCCACGGCACGAAGGGCCACAGTGAGACGAGCGCTGCCCGCAAACACTTCAAGAGCATGGAAAACAGTCAGCTGCTTGCTACCGCCAGGGTGAGCTGCACTTTCTGAAAGGGGAACATCAGGCCGGGCAGGCAACACCTCCACCGGCAACAAGCCAGCAGGCACAGCAGCCTCTTCCACAGGGGCCGCAGGCTGAGGGTGGGAACATGAAGTGATTGCGGGCTCCGCCAGTCAAGCGGGTTTCTTAGGGCACACATGTGCCCCATGCATACCTCCACACCGCATGCAAACGTGCAAGCCCTTGCTGCAAGTTTGTCCAGCTTTGGCGCCGGGACAGCCTGCGGCCATGTTAAAACCCCAACAGCGCCGCTTCCCGGTTCGTGTCCATGATGAGAGGCCTCGCAGTTCAGAAGGCAGGTTGGCGGGCTCAGTAGGGGTTTGCTTTTCCTTCCCTTTACCTTTGCCTTTGGGCTTCCGGGGTCTCTTGGCTGGGGGCCCCTCAGGGGGGTCAGGAACGCCCGGCGGGGCGGGCGCAGGATGCTTGCCCGAAGAGTCAGGAAGCGGCAAAAGGTGAAAGACTACGCGCGGGTCCTTCTGCAAATCAGCCCAGAGGCTATCCAACGGCAATTCACCGGTAGCCTTGCGACGCACCCCGGCTGGGGTTAACTCGGACAAACGGACCCAGGCAGCTCTATCAGCGTGAAGGAGTTGCTGAACAGTGGGGCTGCGGTATCCCGCCAGGACAGGCTGCTGTAGGTGGTTCATAAGAAAAGAGTTCCACTCTTGCACGCGAGCATACGTGCTAAGGCCAACAAGGTCCATGGCCAACGCGCGACGATGCAGGGCCTGGAACAGATCAAGGGCATGCGTCACGTCGCAATGCTGCTCTGCAGCGCGGTCCTTGATAAGGAGCACGGAAGAGGAAGAGCCCGGGGCCGCGACATCAAGTTCCTTGCGGGGCTTATCCATACGCAGTTCCGCCTGCCGGCAGGTAAACTTCGAAGGCTGAAGATACGAGACACAGTTGTCAGAAATCAGCTTCAGGCAAAGGTCATAGCTTGCATGCGAGCACTCGTTGACACCAGACAAGTCAACACCTGCAAGGCGGGCAGCTTGTTTCTGCAGGCGATCACGCCGTTCGGCTGGAGGCAATTCTTTTGGCTGCTCTTCTTTATTCTCAACTAGGCACTTGGTCTCATTGACGACCAAAGTTTGTGCTTCGAAGACTAACCTGCGTACCGCGGCGACGGTACCAAGAGAGGGCTCGGCACCTCCTGCACCCCCGGGGACAGCTACTGGAGCAACTAAGGCCTTGAGTTTCTCGTCACTGGGGGACTCCCCGGGATGACCAGGGGCAAACGCCAGTTTGGCCAGAGTGTCGACGCCCTGGTCAAGCAGCCGTTGCAATGCATCATCTGGCAACCCCACCTTAGCGGCACGCTCTTTCAAAACTGCAGTAGATTCAGTCAACAAGGCGGACATGGCGCACAGGATCTTAGGGTAAGCGAAAACTGGACCTAACAACACCTGCACAGAGGTGCTATGGCAAACTGTGTAGACTGTGGCCAAAGAAGCTGTAAAGGTCCTAAGCACCTGCTATTAGAGCTTCCGAAAACGAGGTCAGTAATTGCAAACACGATTTGCAAAACATGATGTCAAATCATCTCGTAGAATGCACCTTCTACAAACTCTGCAGCCGTGATCGAACCACGAGCTACAATCCTTGAAGACTGAGCGCAGCAGGCTGACACATCGTATTGTCGAGTTGCAGTTTGCTACAGAGAGCCAACTGAAGACAACAAGCATGTGAGCAGTGGCTGCTGAAACAGTCAAGCTTCATCCCTTCAGGAAAGACAGCAGCTGGAACTCCGTGGTACCCAGATATACTGCCGGTGCCACGACCGGCAGTAAGGATGTTGCCGCGAACATCCGCAAATGCTTCCACGAGCCGCACGCAAGCTTTTCACAGCGCCTTACCTCTCGAGGCGCCTGTCCAGGTGATGCAAAAGCGAGCCAGTGTCTCGGATGGGCTTAGCCATCGTACACTGCTTGCACTTCCAATGCTTGCTGTGCACTCTTCCAGAGAAGGGAACAAAACCTTTTGCCGGCCGACCGCAAAGCATCTTGCTGTCGGGTGTCGCACCTCGGGCCCTGGCGTGGATTGATTTGGTCTTAGGGTTCTGGAAGAGATCCAGGTCTACCCCTATGGTTGCACGCGGGGCCTGCACCTCGAAGCCTCGGAGGAAGCCATCATAATCAACCGGCTCGTCGGATGAGCCCGAGGATTCACTGTCGCTAGAAGACTCCAAGGAACCTGACTCACATACACGATCTGGGCTCACGCCACCGAAGACTGCATCTTCCTCGGCCTCCCTGGCAACCTCAGTCTCACCTTCCTGGAAACCGGGAGCGCGATCCAAACTTAACGCTGAAGCCCCCCCTTCAGAAGGTGCTGCCTCGTCGGGCGCCGTGTCATTTGCAGGGCCAGCAACACTGAAGGACGGTGCAAAGGCCGGCTGGAAAGGGGGGCGAGAAGCAAAACCACTCGGGAACTCATCAGGCGACTCAGCGTGCTCCCTGATCATGCCACTGCGGGTCAAGTCTGGAAGGAAGACCCCCACTCTGATCGATTTCAAGCATGCACACAAGTCTCTCAACGGTCCCGCCTGCACATCGCGACCATAATTTTTCTGCGCACCTTACTCGAACCGAGGTGCTGCAGATATCACATGTTGTTTCACAAAACATGACATCTGCATTCAAGAAAATGGGCACGTGCTGCACTTGCCATTTTAAATGTCATGATGCGTGCATGTGTGTGCATCACAAATGGACACGTCCCGTTTTAAAACAAAACACCGCAAATGCAACCAGAAATTTTTCCCAAGAAAAATTTCGTGATACAGCCACAGAAATAATGCCTTGTCCATCGCGATGGAAGGCCGTCTTGGTTTAATTTTATTCTTTAAGAGAGAGAAGGGATTTATTCTAAATTCCACCCACTGTGTGCATCTTCCAGGACCGTTCAGATGCGTGCTGCGACGGTGGAGATGCAAACGCACCTCTTGCAGATGGTCAAGGCAGCGGACTTAATTTCGTTCTCAGATGTGATGTGCCGCAGTAGTGACATAGTATGTGACACCTGTGCGTTTCACGGTCATGGTAACGGGCTGGTGCGGCGCCCTCAAGAGATTCCCGCCTCTCCTGCGTGCTAAAAGGCCAAGTGGGAGGATGTACGTGCAGCACACCTGGATGCGTCTCTTTGCCGAGCTCTTCCCGAGGGATGGTTTTTTGGAAAACTTGCGCAGACACTGCCGGGTGTCGTGACAGCTGCTCTCCGGCTGCATTTCTGCTTCTTGACAGATTGACATTATTCTCTGCTTTTTCTGCGCCTTCAGGACTTCCAACCATCCCCGTGTACCGAAGAAGCGCTCTTGGCTCATGTCAGCCGTGCTGTTGCACGTCTGGAAGGCTTCGTGCGTCCGCTCTCATATCTGCAAGAGCGGGTTTGTTCTGTCCGGCAGGACACCCAGAACCTCGCAATATTGAGGTTCGTCGTTTGCTCAAGTGACTCGAGTGTGCTCGCGTGTGTTTGCTGTTGTTTGCCTTCGAAACCTTTCCTTGTAGGACGTCGGCCCCTATGAGCGCACTGAAGGGCGGGTGCAAAAAGTCATCCCAGTTTCCAAAGGGGCCGCTTTCTTGGTCTTGATAGAGTTTCGTTTGGACAAAGATGGATCATAGACAGCTCCGAAGCCATTGTGCGTGGTGATCTGGCTTCTTTTTCGATTGGCTGGCGGCGGGATCGAGGCACGTGGGTACGCACGGCCGTCGCGATTTCAAAGCAGCCGGACATCTGAGCGCAGAGACTCTTGACTCCTGCCTGAGAAAAGCAGCAGTGTTTGCATTTGCAAACGTGCGGTTTCTTAGTCGTCGTCGTAGCAGTAGCAGTAGCAGTAGCAGTAGCAGTAGCAGTAGCAGTAGCAGCAGCAGCAGCAGTAGCAGTAGCAGTAGCAGTAGCAGTAGCAGTAGCAGTAGTAGTAGTAGTAGTAGTAGTAGTAGTAGTAGTAGTAGTAGTAGTAGTGTAGTAGTAGTAGTAGTAGTAGTAGTAGTAGTAGTAGTAGTAGTAGTAGTAGTAGTAGTAGTAGTAGTAGTAGTAGTAGTAGTAGTAGTAGTAGTAGTAGTAGTAGTAGTAGTAGTAGTAGTAGTAGTAGTAGTAGTAGTAGGTAGTGGTCGTAGTCGTAGTAGTAGTAGTAGTAGTAGTAGTAGTAGTAGTAGTAGTAGTAGTAGTAGTAGTAGTAGTAGTAGTAGTAGTAGTAGTAGTAGTAGTAGTAGTAGTAGTAGTAGTAGTAGTGTAGTAGCATTCTTCGACAACCGAAGTCGGAGAGGTGGTGGCAGAGAGAGTTGTTCTAAATTCCACCCCCCCTCGTTTCTTGTTTTTCCTGTGGTTCATTCTTCTCGGAGTCGTAGGAGAAGTGGCGGTAGAGAGACTTGGTCGAATTTCCACCCCCTGGTATCTGTTTTTTTGTGTTTGGTTCTTCGAGAACCGAAGTCGGAGAAATGGTGGTAGAGAGAATGACTCTAAATTCCACCCCCTCGTTTCTTTTTTTGTGTTTCATTCTTCGAGAATTGGAGTCCTTGTTTTTGTTTTTTGTTTCTTGTGTTCATTCTGCGAGAATCAAGTCGGAGAAGTGGGGGTAGAGAGAATTATTCCAAATTCCACCCCCCTCGTTTCTTGTTTTTCCCCGTGTTTCCTCTAAATTCCACCCGCCCTCTTTTTGCTTAAGTGTTTCAGTCTTCGAGAATTGGAGTTATAGGACATGGCAGAGAAGTGACAATTATTCTAAATTTTACCCGTTTGTTTCTTGTTGTCATGGCAGAGAAGAGTTTTTGTAAATTTCACACCCTTGTTTCTGGTTGTCATGGCAAAGAGGTGAAAATTGTTCTAAATTTCACCCCCTTGGCAGAGAAGTGAAGAAAATCATTTTAAATTCAACTCCTTGTTTCTTGTTGTCGTAGCGGAGAAGTTATATTTACCTTAAACCTAACCCTGAACCCCAAACCCTAAATAAACACAAAAGCCCCTTGAAGCTTTGTTGAAGCCTGAAGCCCCCCTTCAAGATTTTTTTGGGAGGCTTTTGCCGGGGGGGGGTCTGGGGGGGGGGCGCAGCCCCCCCCGCTTGCAAACATAGTATGTGAAAAGACCGCCTCTAAAGTGAGTGAATGCGGCGCGGGGCGTTGCAGATAAGCAGGGGGGTTGGGGGGACTGTGCTTGTGGGACAGGTAGGGGGACGAGTTTCGCAGATAAGCAGTGCGACAGGTTTTGCAGATAAGCAGGGGGGTCGAGGCGGCTGTGCTTGTATGAGAGGTTTCACAGGCGTTGCAGATAAGCAGCGGACTTGAGAGGACTGTGCTTGTGTGATACGTAGGGGGACGGGTTTCGCAGATAAGCAGTGCGACAGGTTTTGTAGATAAGCAGGGGGTTGAGGGGACTGCGCTTGTATGAGAAGTTTCACAGGCGTTGCAGATAAGCAGCACATTTAGCCGTGAAAAGTTGCCTGCAAAAAGCTTGCAGACGAACATGCCACTCGTGCAGGAGCGCCAGCAAGGCGACCCGGAAGGTGGTATAGGCCGCTTCCGCTGCCGGAAGCCAGTTCTACCAAAAGCAATAGGTTCCTACGACTCAAGTCAACGTATATATAACTGACTAGCAGCAAGCGCCCGCCTTGACCTCGACCTTGCTTGCCGAGCTGCCAAATCCACGTCCAACAGGCACCAACGTCAGCAGGACATAAAGCCAAGGCCGCGACGTGAAGCTTCGGGCGGCACTCCTCCCATAACCCGACCGTTGCTTCGCACAGAGGCGGCAGGTTGCTGGGCACGTTGCCAGCCACTTCGACCGCCACGCCTGGCCACTGTTCAAGCAGGCACATCCTAAGAACGAATGAGAACGCCTTGTCTTGGAGACGCGTGTCCCAGCCATGAAGCTACGTTAGCAACAAGCAAAGAAACCAGAAAGCACGCAACTGAAAGCTGCAGGCAACAACCCATGCTCATTGCGCACGGGGCGCAACTGGCCTCAATGCTGCTGCTAGGCACACACAGGCAGACCACGTGGCAACGGCACACAGCTTTCAGCTACACCAGGTGCCGGCAAGGACTTTGTCGTGTCCGACGGAGCGAGACATCCAGCGCCAATGTGCTGAGCGCGGTCACTTCAACTCACGATACACTTTCCGTGGCTTCCGAACCTTTTTCGGAGCTGGTTTGGGCTGAGCTTTGCCCATGGCCTGCCTCGCGCGGGCGCCGGGAGGGCGGCCACGAGGCTTGCTGATACGCACATTCTCCAAGCCGAGATCGGCCTTACGGTGCGAGAACGTCAGCCCACGACAAAGCAGGATGTGCTCGCAGCCGCCCCACAGAGCATAAGGCAAACACGTGCAAGATAGCCGCGCAGGCTCAACGGTCACGTAAGCGATATTGTCAAAGAGCTTCTTGCACGGACCATAATATTGAAACTCCCACTCCGAAGCTGCCCCTGCACAGCGCAGGACACCAGCCTCTTGCAAAAAATGCTTCACCTGGTGAGGCGAGCAGACTAGAAGCTGCACACCAAGCTGCGCCATGTCCTCAGCGAGTATGGGAGCATAACAAGACATACGAACTGCGACAACGGACAGAGATGGAAGGAAAGGCTAAGCTCAGAGTGGCTACGAAACAGCTCCGTCGCGGCGGAACGGTGAACGGCACTGAGAGTCTGCACACCGTGCAGATGTGTGGGATCAACATCCACGCTTTGCAAGTGCAGCGCAGTGTCGGAGTTCCAATCAAAGGAGTCTAACCAATGGTCAGCATACAGGTTTTGCATTACTCCAAGGACTTCACCCAACGGTGCACGCCCACCCACGGACTCGAGTTTCGACTGCCATGCACTGTGAATGGCTTCTGCAGGGTTACTGCCGCAGCCAGTGCCCGAAACAATGCCCCGACATCCGACCCACCAACCTGCAAACCGATGATCTGGCAAGTATTCGTGCTCGTGGCGCAAGAGAGCCTGTGGCACTGCAGCGGTGTACGTGTTGTCCAAGTACGCAGCCACAGTGCATTCGCCCATGGATGTGAGGCGGGCTAGCAGTCCTCGCCAGCAGGCGTCAAAGATGGAGGCGCGAGGTAGAAGCCGCAGGGATCCTAAAACGGCTTGCAGCCACCCAAGATGAGCCTTCTGAAATCTGCCTGCTACCAACGCAGTGTGCGACAAACGACTGTCGAGCTCAAGGTGCTTCTGCCTAAAGTGATAATAGTCATCACACGGGCGACTGCAAGGGAAACAGGCTTTACGCGCAGACTCCAAGCCTGGCGCAAAATCTTTGTGGACTTGCACCACATGGTCCCGCAGTGGCACGCAATGCGTTGCATGCGTATCCCACACAGTACACAGAAGGTTGCAGAAGGATGAGATGACTTCATGCGACTCGGAGCCCACAATGGCCTGCAGGAGAGGAAAGGGTCGTTCTTCTCAAACGCTGAAGCTGCAACAGCACGCTTGCTGAACGATTGCTCACTGAACGATTCTGGGAACAGCGGCAGCAACAATCACAAACATTCACAGGACCGTACGGACCGCGCTTAGACTGTAAACTAGATGCACCCCAGTTCCCAGAAGAGAAAGACCTCCAAGTTTTCGGAAGCACAGACACGTGCCGGATCAATGCCAAAGTCAACGCGTGAACGAAGTCGCGCTGTGCCAGGACCTGCGTCACATGAGACTTCTTGGCGCCGTTGAACCCAAGACGAAGCTCAAGCGCGCGCCTCATGCTGCAGCCGCAGGAGGCCCTCGAGGGGCACCGGGCCCAACAGCGGCTCGCGAAGAGACAACTGCACGCACCGCGGACACGGATGGAGGGAAAGAACCCGCACAAGTGGCGAGGTCGGTGCGCCCATAGAGGGGAAGAGAAATTCGGCCTTGGTTGGTGCGCTAGAAAAACGCAGCTGCACAAATGGAGCAAGGAACGTAAGGCAAATACAGGCATGAAGCAATGCGGCGAACCAGTTCGCCATGCTGCCCACCACGAAAAGAGGGCAGGACAACAAGGTGTCGAAGAGCGTGTACAGCCTCCTGGGAGCGCACCAGCGCGCCTCGCAAACGCAAGACCTGAATTTGCAAATCGCTCGCGAGATGGTGGGCATGTCGAAGAGCTCGCTGACCTGGCAGCACAGTCAAAACGAAGAATGCTAGCGTGAGGCAGCATGTCTAGACTGTCTGGACACCACAACCTTCGAGATACGAGACGCGTCGTTGCGTGTGCGACATTTGCTCAACGTCCAGGACAGAGAGCAACATCCTGACCAAAGGGGCAGCATCAGCCCACAAAACAGAACACCAACCGAAATTGAACTCTTCAAGCACCGCAGACACTCCTCCGCCTGCGCCGATGATTCGACGATGACTTCCAAACCAGGAAACTCACTAGGTCACTATTCACTCTCAGATTCGGACCAGAAATACAAAAAACGGCAGCGGCATCCATGCGGGTTTTTTTGAGCGCCAGACAAGGTGCGATTGCGCAAACATGACCACGAGAACAATCATGGGCTTACGAACCTATACCAAGGTATAAGCCCCCCCTTAAGCCCCCCCTTTTTGCCCCCCCCCCCTTTTTGCCCCCCTTAAGCCCCCTCAGCCCCCCCCTAACGCCCCCCTTAAAGCCCCCCCTGGCCCCCTTAAAGCCCCCTTTAAGCCCCCCCCCAAGCCCCCCCCCCCCTTGTTGCCCCCTTACGCCCCCCAGAGAGGGCTTACGGCTTCAAGGAGGCTTCGAGGGGGGTTCAAGGGGGGCTTGAAGGGGCAGCATTTTAAGAGGCAAACAAAAGCATTTGAATCCACTCAAACCCATGACGCGAGCAACGTGTTTGCCCCAACTCCCGGGCTTTTTTAACCAACCCTCCCGCTTTTTTAAGCCGGGCAAGTTTGCGTGGAAGCATATGAATCATCTCCAAAACAAAACAAAACAAAACATCTGCACAAAGGGTTTAGGCAGCTGTCAATGAGGCCCAATGCCCACTCGACACTTGCTGGGCCTGTGGTGGAGGGTTGAGGCAGCAGTTTAAAACGCCCAATACTTGCGGAGTCTTTTCTGGAGGATTTGGGCAGCAGTTTAGGAGGCGTAACACTTGCTGGGCCCCCTGTGGGGGTTTAGGCAGCAGTTTAAGAGGCCTAATACTTGCTGGGCCCTCTCTGGAGGGTCGGGGCAGCAGTTTAAGAGGCGTAATACCTGCTGGGCCTTCTGGGTCTTTTCTGGAGGGCTTGGGCAGCAGTGTAAGAGGCGTAATACTTCCTGGCCCTTCTGTGGAGGGTTTTAGGCAGCATTTTAAGAGGCAAACAAAAGCATTTGAATCCACTCAAACCCATGACGCGAGCAACGTGTTTGCCCCAACCCCCGGGCTTTTTTACCCAACCCTCCCGCTTTTTTAAGCCGGGCAAGTTTGCGTGGAAGCATATGAATCATCTCCAAAACAAAACAAAACAAAACAAAACAAAACAAAACAAAACAAAACAAAACAAAACAACACATGGGTTCTCGGCGTAGCCCCGCGCCACGTCACTGCACAGAGGAGGCGTCGGGTACGTGCAGGCCACAGCCGCTTCCCCTAGCCTCACCTTGACAAAAGGCCCTCCTTGTTGTAAGCCGGGCAGGTTTGCTTCAAAGCATAGGAATGCTTGTTAAGCCCATAATGCAAGCATCGTGTTTGCAAATGGGGGGGGCTGCGCCCCCCCCAACCCCCCGCTTTTTTAAGCCGGGCAAGATTGAAATGTATGTTTAGAGTCTCACTTCTCTGGTTTCGAATAGTGAAATCCAAAAAACAAATACAAAAACATAACAAGATTCGAGGGGGTGGAATTTAGAATAAATTCCCTTCTCTCTCTTCTTAAAGGGAAGTTAATGTTTAGAGTCTCACTTCTCTGGTTTCGAAAAAAGAAGTCCAAAAAACAAAACAAGATTCGAGGGGGGTGGAATTTAGAATAAATCCTTCCCTCTCATCTTCAAGATAAATTACTGTTTAGAGTCTCACTTCTCTGGCCTCGAATAATGAAACCAAAAAACAACAAGGTTTCAGGGGGGTGGAATTTAGAATAAATCCCTTCTCTCTTTTCTTAAAGAATAAAATTAAACCAAAAGGGCGTCTCAACACCTTCAACACCCTTTAAGCTCCACTCCTGAAGCCCCCCCCCTTTAAGCCCCCCTTTAAGCCCTTAAGCCCCCCCCTTAAACCCCCCCCTAAGCCCCCCCTTTAAGCCCCCCCTTAAGCCCCCCCCCCTTAAGCCCCCCTTAAGCCCCCCCCTTAAGCCCCCCTTAAGCCCCCCTTAAGCTCCCCCTTAAGCCCCCCTTAAGCCCCCCCTTAAGCCCCCCCTGAAGCCCCCCCTGAAGCCCCTTCAGGACTAAGGGGGTGGAATTTAAAATTCTCGACTCTTCTCTTCTTCCATTTAGCCCTCCTTCACGCTCCCTTTAAGCAATGACCTTTTTTCGGGGGAGGCAAAGGGTCAAACCCTTTAAGCCCCCCCCTCAGCTCCCCCTTAAGCCCACCTGAAGCCTCCCTTAAGCCCCTTAACTCCCCCTTAGAAGCGCCTTCAAAGGGTCTGGCTCCAAAGCCCCCCTTAAACCCCTTAAGCCTCGCAAGAAAAGAGCCTGCAAACATTGGTAAATTGCAAACACACCTGTGTGTGCCTTGCGGCGCGAGGGGGGTGGAATTTTAAAAAAATTCCCTTCTCTCTCTTCTTGAAGGGAAGTTAATGTTTAGCGTCTCACTTCTCTGGTTTCGAAAAATGAAATCCAAAAAACAAAACAAGATTCGAGGGGGGGGAATTTAGAACCCCCTCTCTCATCTTCAAGATAAATTACTGTTTAGAGTCTCACTTCTCTGGCCTTGAAGAATGAAAAGGTTTCAGAGGGGTGGAATTTAGAATAAATCCCTTCTCTCTTTTCTTAAAGAATAAAATTAAACCAAAAGGGCGTCTCAACACCTTCAACACCCTTTAAGCTCCTCTCCTGAAGCCCCCCCAAAGCCCCCCCCCTTAAGCCCCCCTTTAATGAAATTTTACAAAAGCGAAATCGTCTACTCAATCAGGTGATCTCAGAACTGCTCAATTCAATCAAGCACAATCACAAGCACCAACTCTGCTGTGTGATGCAATCACTCGAGCTCAATGTTTTCCGACTTGAGCCAAAGTTGATCCAGCAATCCTCTGGTGACCAATGCATCTCTGTGTGGATACAAAGGTGATCTGACCAATCATCCTAACACGGTCCCTCGAATTCGCAATTCATTGCAAATTCGCATCAGGTCAGATTCTCGAAACAATTCAAACTCCATCCAAAATATATATATCAGCATCAAAATTCATTCAAGAAGCAACAATGGAACACGACTCAACTGCTCAGGCTCAAATCTCTTTTGCACTTCGGAACTGCAATGTAAATCTGCAAGAATCCGGCTCAAAAGACTGTACAATGCCACGTGGAAGCAACATCACGCAGTGACGAGTGGCAATGCACCGCAGCTGAGAACGATCAACCATCGATTCTGCCAATTCCAGTCAATATATTGCTCGAGGCAATTCTGAGATCCAGAAAACGCAGCGTACGACGTCGAATGCCAATCAGCAGCTCATCAAAACTGTTGCACTCAGGCAATGCACCTAGCCAATCGTGACATGGCTGCCATTCGGGACCACAATGGTCGTGCCAATGGAGGGCACGGCTTCGGGCACCGAACCACGATGCTCCGATGGGCGACTGGCTGTGCCGCCAATCTCCACTTCGTTCATGTCATCATCAATGCCGCACATCGAGAAGACATCCCTCAATGCCTTCGGGTAGGCAACGGAGCGCGTGAAGCCCATCTGGAAGCCAATCGGGTTCGCAATGGCATCCTGGTGGATTGCCCATGCAAGGTCCAATACCGTGCATCCCAATTCCACCACCAAAGCCAGGTCCCGCAGCAATGGCGACAATGCGAAGTCGGTCGCCACCATGAGCGTCGTGGCAGGCACATACGACTGGTTATGCCAATTGCTCAACCCCCCGGTGAAGCTGGGGTTCTTGGCAATTGGGGCCATGAAGGCCTTTGTTGGCCGGAAGAAGACCAATGCCGCAGCCTCCTGCCAATGGGCCTCCAAGTGGGTCTGCCTGACCCAATGGGCGAGCTTCGCCACGGCTCCTTCAATTGAGAAGGCGATGTTCAGCTGGCGGCATGGGAGACAATCCCAGTCCAGCTCAATGTCTCCCTCAGCATCATCGGTATCCATGCCCACCAATGTCCGAACCAGACTCAAAGGCAAGCAGACAATTGCCCACAAGTTGGACAATGTCTCGTCGTATCGTCCAGCTCCCAATGCCTTCAGCAGGGTCGTCTGCTGAACCAATGCCTTGATCCAATCCATGTGGGGCAACGCAGTGTAGGAGCCAATGGCCGTCGAAAGATCCACCGCTTCACCAATGGCCGCCGCGCAGCGCTCAATGAGCATCTTGACCTTTAGGCTCATGCTGCACCAATGGTCGTTGCCAGTTGGCAATGGTGCCGTCGCAAACCGGCAATTCAGGACGCGCAGTGGGTCCAATGCCAGCTGTGGAATCTGGCGTGTCCGAGCCACCAATGCGGAGGTGACACGATCGATCAAGATTTCGAGACGCGCCAACAATTCCGCCAAGGCCAATACACCAGTCTCTTGCGGGTGTGCGGCGACCAGCGACAATGTGATCTCTTCCTCCAATGGGAGGGCACTCACAATGGAAGCCAATAGGGTCCAGAGCAAGGCCTCCGGTCCGAATTGGCCAATGGCCAGCGTGACCAATCGCTCAAGATTGGCCAATGCCGTCTTCCTGAGCTCAATCCCAACACCTTGGGACGACACAATGCCGCAACTGTTCTCAATTGCAGCGTTGTCCATGGCTGCAATGGGGCTTCAGAGGTGCACAATGCCCACAGGAATGCTCTTGTGACTGCAATCACAGCAGAGAATGCAACAAAGACAAAATTCTCAAAAGCACTTCCAAGATCACAATTCACCTAAAAGGAAAATCGGAAAATCCTAAAGGAGAAAATAAAATACTGGGAAAACTTGAAAGAAGCAATCTATGTACAATGTGCTAGTTAGAGAGGTTCTACTCTAAACACTATGCTGCTGTACAATG